GTCGTTGTGCTCACTTAATGTTTCGTTTCCATCGTTACAGCCATCTTCTATTGTTTCGTTAATAACTGTGTTTGCATTTTCACCACCTTCATGAAAACCTTGGCCGTCGTTCGAAGAATCGAAAACAGTGCTTTCTTGGATGATATCCTTACTGAAAGTCTCGTTAAATGGCATATAATCCATAATATTAATACTGGGTTCTATAGAGCTATTGAAGAAACAAGAACATTCACCAATTCCAGTCTTATGAAATTTAAGTTATGAACATCCTACATCAACGATTCCAGCCATCTTATTCAAAGATTAGGTGCAATATAATTTCCTTTAATTAGTTATTTAATTTCCATAAGTTATGAATCTATCACCATAAATAGAATATCATTTATTTTTTTTTAAAAATACTTATAATAATCTAGATATAGTAAATGACATATTTAACCTTTTCAATTAATTAATAATTAAAAAAAAGAAATTCATTGATTGGTTGGAAATGGGTTGTATTGGTTGTAAGAATGGAGTGGGTTGCATTTGAAATATACCCTATATATATATATATATACACACACACACACACACACACACACACACACACACATACACATACACATACACATACACATACACATACACATACACATACTCATACACATACACATACACATACACATACACATACACATACACATACACATACACATACACATACACATACACATACACATACATACTGCTCTCGCCTGTGCAGTTATTTTTCTCGCGCCTGCGAGCATCTGGGCAGAAAGTTTTTGGGCCCTACATTCCCTTTAAAACCCGTTTTTCCCTTCATTTATTCATTTTGTTTCTTCACCAACACTTTTATCCTCTCATTCAAATTGGTCTAAACCCTCCTATTTCACCATATTTAAATCTTTAAGGAGCCTTCAAGATATTGGGAACTAGGATTCAAATCTTAATATTTGAAACTCAAGATCTTCATTTTCTTCATCCTTCTTCCACCATTATTGACCAAATTTTGGGGTTTTCTTAAAATCCCATTTGTAGGTTATTCTAACATTTCTAAGCTTTTATACTCGTCAAAATACTTTATTTTAGTTTCCTAGAACATCTCTTTTGGTGTATTTAACACATCTATGGATTTTGACCAACTTTGGATATTTTGGGGGATTTAGAGGGTTTTATCTTTTTTACTAGTAAATGTTAGATCTTTAAGAATGTTTCATAAAAATGAGTTTTAAGTACACAAATGATATTTTGGGACTTGAATCATAGGAATTAAGTATATTTGATTGTGTTCATCTTTGGGAGAGTTTTATGTAAAATGGTCACATTTTTTTAAAGAGAGGTACTAATACTTGGGGGTTGAAATGTTTTGAGGACCTTTATAGATCTAAATCGTTTGCTCGTTTAATGATTCATTCATAGACTTAAGTAAATGGTTGGTTTGGAAACCCTAGGTCCTTGTTGAAGATGACTTGAAGATGGTGAGATCTTCATCACTGGAAGCTAAAGCTTAGGGTTTAGAATCTAGATTTAACTTAATCTAGCAAGATGAGTTCAAGTTGCTTTGTAAAAATTATGTACATGCCAAAAATGTCCTTGTTTAAGTATTAACATGTTTTACTTGTTATTCATCAAATGTGTGGATTATTTGGTGAGTTTTGCATACTTAGGATATTTGGTTTTATAAATCATGTAAAATGCTTATATTTGGGTTTCTGGACATTTTGATAAATAAATCATAAGTATGAGTTCTTTTGATGATTTATTCTTTAAATGAAGATTATCTGGTGATAAATGCAATATAGTGTATTTGGTTGGAAAATATATATTATTGTGTAAACAAGACATTTTGGAAATATAAACGATATGGTTTTAATTTGGAAAATAATATATCCCAACCAATGATGTGTTTTTGAGTTAATCATGTCTTTGGAACATGTGCTTGCATAAACTTTGGTTAAATATTTTTTATTGCTTTTGATGACTTTTATGAAATAGTCAATTGAGTTGTTGATATTTTAGCTCAGTTTGAATTTAATGAGTCTAGGAGACACTTGTCTGGTTTTAAATTTCTCTATCTCGAGCTTTTGGAGTTATATGAATTTATGGCATATTCATTATGAAAATGACATGCTTTAAGTGCGTAGGTCATTCAGTTTGAGTCATGTAATTTTATGACTAGAATGCAATTGATTCAAAGGCATAGAAGTCGGTCTTAGGGGATAGGCAAGGGATGGGATCTCCTTAAATGAAACTTGGAAACATGCCTTGTGATTATTACGTGATTTCCAATTCATCCTTTACTATAATTTGGAAATAAGCATTTGATTATTATGTAATTTCTAAATCATCTATTACTGTAACTTGGTACATAATTTTCAATTCATCATTTACTGTAGCTTGAAATATGCATGTGATTATTACATAATTTCCAACTCGGCGAGCTTATTATCTCATTTGACTATAGACTGGATTTGGTTGATGTCAATGGTTACTACTCTATAAGTGATGCTCATATAACATTGGTTTGTTGCTTACTTATGTGTTCCGTTACAACAAATGGTAAATCGGTTCTTCTCCGTCATCTTCGGATGTTTTATGCCCTTCCAAGGGTAAACATGAGTTGATTTTGTAAATAACTTGATTAAAGCTATGTTTTCCCTATTAATGTTTTATAGCTTATTCTTGGTCACGTGAGTATTTGATTTTTAGTTATGTATAAAAGGATGTTTTGACTAACGGATTTTCATCAAGAAAAATGGTAGGTTTCGAAAAAATGCTACTTTTACGATAAAGATGTTCCATTTGCAAAATTATGATTTAAATCGGTGGTCTTTCAGTTTTACCTTTCTATGATTATGATAAAAACAGTTTGAACTCACTAGTCTTTAAGCCTAACCTTTTTATTTGTCGGCATGTGCATCAAGTTCTTGTTGGGTTTGGTAATAGCGACATCGTGATGAACTGAGTGCTAGTTAGAGACATGAAAAGGTTCTAGCTATTCGTTAACGTCTTCCATATTTAGAGATGGCGATTGTTGTTGGATTTGAATAACATCCGACCTTGACCTAGTCTCGATGTAAGACTTAGTTTACTATTTTTGATGTTAAAGTTAGATTTGTTATTCGAGTTAATTTAAGTATTGATTTATGGAAAGAGATTTGTTCTTTATTCGATGTATTATTGGAAATTTTTATTCAGTCGTTTTTTTTTCCAAATTTTTGACGGTCGGTTCAATCCAAACAGCTCGAAAAAATGTTCTAAACCATAGACTAAAATGGACCAAACGGTTTGGCTATTTCTCAGATTGGATCAGACTGTCAAACCATTCAAACCTTGAGCGATCCAACGGTTTTTAGGAACACCTCCAATCCATGTAGGAGTTGTTTATCGTAAAGTTGTACAAACACTAATTTGTATCAAAATTGAATTCGACAAATGTCAATTGATGTAAATGTATTTATTTTTAAGAGTTTATTTATGATGATGAAGGATCGTGTGAGAATAGGAGTTAAGGTGAGAATTGTAAGAAAAATTTTGAACTCTTGATCACTTTTAATCTCAAACCAACCCATGAATTGCACTTTAGAAGGGAATTATTCCAGTGTTGATCTAGAAGACCTTTTCAATTATAATTGATCCAAGGATGAGAAGATCCCTTCTTACCTTTACCATTTTCACTGAAACCCAACCATATTTATGAAATGGTAACATAGACTTTATCCTCTTTGAAACAATATGACCACGAGAAGATTCAGGGATGAATACATATAGAGCGGGGAATACGCCCCCACCCCAGTCCATGTGGGTTTGGGAGAAGGAATCCCCACTGGATAAGAAACCCTTAGCTACCCATTTAGTAAATAAACAACATAAAGTGTATATATATACACACACATATATATATATATATATATATATATATATATATATATAAAGTGGGGTAGGACCAGAGAGATAGAAATCAACCATATACCCACAGCTAATATTTCCATCCTTGCAAAGCTAATTAATAGCAATAGAAAATTAGAAGCGGTCTGCTAACTGTGGGAATTGTTGTAGCAGCCATGTCACCCCTCTAATGGCAACCTGCATACACTCATTCAATACAAAAAACAAAGCCTCAGCCACTATCATATAGAATATATAAACCGTTTTATTCGTTTTCGTTATAATTTGACTCTCCCTCCGTCTCAAAATAAATATCATAAATGAAAAAGACATGCAGTTTTAAGAATGTGCAATTATTAGTTCATATGGGAGCTACTACTAAACAATGAAAACCAATATGATCACGACGATTTTGGTTCACGAGGTTTTTCATTACTTGATCACGTGTTAGTTATTTGACTAATAGTCAAACGCTACTTTAGAAATGTGCAACCAAACTTTATGAATTTTCAGGGAGGAGAATAAGGAGGTATAGAGGATTTGCAGGATTGAAAAAATGGATATTATTGAACAATTGCCGTGGCTTTATACAAACAATACAACAATTGGAAAGAGGAAATAATTGGCTAAAAATGTGCAATATCACAACAATTAACTAAATATAAAAAATACACATTAAATGGAATTTGAATGTGGGTTTGACTTTCCTTTTGCTTGAGGTATGGATTGATCCATAATACGCCCTGCAAGATGGAGGATCCGTTGGAGACTCCAATCTTGGATCGAAGAAAAAGAAATGGTCCTCGACCAAGTGGTTTTGTGAGGACATTGGCTAGTTGGTCCGCTGAATGTACGTGTTGGACCCGAAGAGTGCCATCAGTCACCTTTTCACGCACAAAGTGATAGTCCAAGGCAACATATTTCATGCGTGAGAGGTATACCAGGTTTGCACAAAGATAGGTGGCACCTGCATTGTCACAAAGAAGAGTGGGAGGACCCGAAACAGATACGCCTAGTTCAAGAAGTAGGTTGTTCACCCAAGCTAATTCCGCCGCATTTGCCAAGGCTTTGTACTCGGCCTCGGTTGAAGAGCGGAGACCAATTTTTGGCGTGCGGACTGCCAAGAGATAATGTTGGACCTGAGATAAAGTATATAAGCGGTAGATCTTCCTCCATTAGACACACCTCCCCAATCAGAGTCCGAGAAGGCTCTTAGATCAAGTGGAGAGCCACGTTTGAGATACAAACCGTGATGAATGGTTCCTTTTAAGTAACACAGTACTCTTTTTAATGCTTGCCAGTGAAGTTGACTAGGCGAGTGCATAAACTGAGACAACTTATTAACCACAAAAGACACATCCGGGCGAGTGAACACAAGGTATTGTAGAGAGCCTACTAATTGGCGATAGGGTGTTCAACACCACGTGAACCATCTGTGGGAGAAAACGAATCGGAAGTGCTTAGAGGAGTGGCAAACGACTTTGCACCATCCATTTTGAACTTGGTCAGCAGGTTTTGGATATGTTGGTGTTGGGATAGAAACAATCCATTGGAAGTGGAAATAACCTCTAAACCAAGTGATGTAGCATGCCGAGATCTTTAATAGAAAACCTTTGTGCTAAGGCATCAATAATCTTTTGAAGAAATTGATTGTTGTTTCCTGTAAGAATAATGTCATCCACATAGACTAGAAAGTAGCAAGTCAAAGGACCATGGTTATAAGTGAACAATGAGGGGTCTGCTAATGACTTTCAAAAGCCAAGGCGAAGAAGAAACTTTGTAAGTTCAATATACCAGGTGCGTGGTGCTTGTTTTAATCCGTAAAGAGACTTATGAAGCTTACAAACGTGGTTGAGTAAATCCGGGTGACATACCCGGGGGTTGGGTCATGTAAACTTCTTCCGGTAAGTGACCATGCAAAAACGTGGTGTTGACATCAAGTTGTCTTAAGGGACAATGTTTTGACAAGGCACTGGACAATACAGTACGAATGGTGACCGGCTTTGTGACGGGACTAAACGTGTCAAAGTAATCTTTATCATATTGTTGATGAAAACCTTTTGCGACTAGGCGAGCCTTATATTTATCAATTGAGCCGTCCGGTTTCCGTTTGACCTGAAAAACCCATTTGCAACCAATCCGTTTGTGGGAATGAGGTACAAATTCCCATGTGCCATTCTTGAGTAGGGCATTGAATGCAAGGTCCATCGCACTACGCCACTGAGGATCTTTGAAGGCTTGGGTGCGGGTAGTTGGTTCAACATTAGACGAAACAGGATAAAGAGTGGATGTAATGATAAAGTTGGGGTTGTAGTATTTGGGGTTAGGTTTGGGAGTTCGAGGAGGTAAAGGTGTAGGAGAAGCGTCGGTCGAGGAATGGTTGGGAGTGGACGGCGAGGAAAAATAGAAGATTGGGATGAAGGAGATGGATGAGGTGAGGTAATGGGGTTGTTAGGTGGGTTCAGTTGAGAGGGAGTTGAGGTAGGAGAAGGTGATTCTTGTATGGGAAATGTAGTAGGTGTAGTGGATAGGTTTTGGAAATTGGGTAGCGTATGGCAGGGGGTGTGAGGCGTAGGGTGGGGTGTTTTTGGAGGAGTGGGAAGGTAATTGGGTTATGATGGACCTCTTTGGACTGGCATGGATATATATGTTCAACAAATTCAACATGCCTTGAGTGAAATAGGCGACGAGATGATGGGTCAAAACATTTGTAGGCTGATTTGGAAGCAGAATAGCCTAGGAAAATGCATGGGGCTAATCTTGGGTGGAATTTTGATTTTTCATACGGTCTAAGCCATGGATAGCAAAGACATCCAAAGGATTTGAGTTTGTGGTATGTTGGTGATTTTCCATAGAGAATATCATATGGACTTTTGGAATTAAGGATTGGTGTAGGGAGTCTATTAATGAGATAGACGACGGTTTGAAAAGCATGGGACCAAAACGAGAGTGGAAGATGAGCATAATGGAGTAGAGCCAAACCTGTTTCAACGATATGATGGTGACATCTTTCAGCGATACCGTTTTGTTCCGGTGTAGGGGTAAAATGAGATATGCCTTGAGCTTGTAGATATGGACTGAGACCTATATATTCACCACCATTGTCGGTGAAGATAGAGATCAAAGGAGTTTTGAAGTACTTTTCAACCAACCTTTTGAGCTGTGGAAAGAGTGTTTTGATATCCGACTTGTGTTTCATGGGATATAACCATACATATTTGGTATAAAAGTCCACAATAATTACATAGTAATTGAAACTGTCAATGGATTTTTCAATTGGTCCCCACACATCAGAGTATAAAAGTTCTAATGGTTTTGAAGCATTAAAGGAATTTGCACCAAAGGGCACTTTATGACTTTTATCGATCGAACAAGAATGACAGTGAAAGTTTTGAAACTTTGAATTAAGGCCTAGAAATTGTGCTAGAAACTCAAAAATCCGAATTGATGGATGACTGAGTTTGTGGTGCCAATCAAGAAGTGAGACGGTTATAGTGGAGTTGAGTTGTGGTGTCAAAGGAAGGTTGGCATAGTAGATATCAAGAGGATTCCCCCCCCCCCCACATTAGACGCCCATGTGAAGATCCTTCACAAAGAAATGAGAGGGAAAAAATTCAACAGAAACATGATTAGTTTTACAAAGCTTAGCAACCGAGATAAAATTATTGCGTAGTTTTGGAACATATAAGACATTGGGTAAAGAGAGTGGGCGTGAAGGAGTGTATAAGTTTGCGTACCGATGTGGGATATGGAAAGAGCCTTACCATCGCCAAGGATAACTTCATCCGGTCCCCCATACTCAGAGAGTGTGTGAAGAGAGGACCAGTCAGATGTAATGTGATGTGAAGCTCCAGTATTGAACATCCACGTTGGGGATGAAGAAGTGGGTCGAGAGGTGGTGACATTGGCCATCGGGACGGCCGGTCTGGTGACTGCAAGATAAACATTATTGTCACGTAGGAAACGAGCAAGTTTTAGGCAATCCTTCGTTTCGTGGCCCCGGATGTTACATTAGTGGCAATAGGCTGAATTGCGATTTAGGCGATTTCCTCCAGAATAATTAGTGGAATTGGACCACTGTTGACGCCCGCCTTTAGGTTGTCCTGCAGAATTGAACCTAGACCGCTGGTTTTGCATGTCTTGAGGGGTCCTTGAATTGGTTCTAGCAGTGCTTCGTTGGGTGTAGTGGACCATTGGCAGAGAGGAAGGCATTGTGTCACCTAATTGTCTTTCAAAATCAACTAGCTTATCAAACAGTTCAGGGTACGATATAGGTGTGTCACGAACCTTTAGGGCAGCAGTAATGTTGTTGTACTCATCACCTAATTGCCCGAGAATGTGAATGAGCAGGTCTTCCTCGTCGATTGGACTTTGGACAAGGGCAAGTTCATCAGCAATTGACTTCATGTCGTGAAGAAATTCAGCGACACACCGGGTTCCTTTGAGGTTTTTTGCAAGCTTGGATTTGAGAGAGATAAGTCTGAAACAAGAAGCACTGGCGTAATTGGTGGTCAGCCGTTTCCATGCTTCGCGAGAGGTATCGGCCGAAGACAAGATAGGTTGGATTGTATCGGTGCAACTGTTGAGAATGGTGCTTAGGATAATTTGGTCTTGCCGGAACCACCGGGTATATTTCAGATTCGGCTTGGTTGAATCTTTGTCGAAGATAAGTTTTGACGGAGGTTGTTGTTCTCCGTCAATAAAGTTGTCAAGATCCAAACCGGTAAGTGTCGATTGGATCTGTCTCCTCCATGCGGGGAAATTGTTTGCATTGAGTTTGATGGGTAAGTGAGTAGTAGCGGTGTTGAACGACAGTGCTTGACATCTTTAGGGTTGGGAAGGAAATGAAGCTTTTTTTTTTTTTTTTTATCAGGAAGCAAGGATCGATTTCTCGTGTGAGCAAATTGAAGGCCCTGATACCATAAGAAGGTATAGAGGATTTGCAGGATTGAAAAACTGTATATTATCGAACAATTGTTGTGGCTTTTACAGAGAATACAGCAATTCGAAAGAAGAAATAATTGGCTAAAAATGTGCAATATCACAACAATTAACTAAATATAAAAATACACATTAAATGGAATTTGAATGTGGGTTTGACTTTCCTTTTGCTTGAGGTATGAATCGATCCGTAATAGAGAAGAGAATATAGCATCATCTCTATGTAGCAGATATATTGAAACTCTCCTCTCCTCAAGGGCTCTTTTGCGGAATAATCTGATGAGGTTTACATTTCTCACATGGTATCAAAGCAAAGCTCTACTATCTGATTTGCCCTGGAATAGACACTCTATGGCATCTTTGCCTGTCTAACCTCCGTTGTTAGAGTCTACATCGGCTAGACTTGAAAACTCTCTTCACTCCTAAAGGTTCTTTTGGAGAGTAATTTATTTGGGTTGGGGGGGGGTTGGAGAGTAATGTAATGAGATTCCACATTCTCACATGGTATCAAAGCCAAGGTCTACCATCTCAAATATCTCTTGCCCGCATCGAAGCTCTAGGGCATCTTTGCCCGTCGTTTTTAGAGACGGCTAGATTTAAAAATGTCTACTTCAGCTAGATTGAAAACTCTCCCTTCAATAATTGTTGGAACCCCCTTCACTCCTACAGGTTCTTTCAGGGAGTAATTTAATGGGTTCCATCCACTTGTCTCACAAACCTAATTCAAAGTTAATGAACCTGAAACCATCTCGAGTCTAGGAACCAAGACTCGACAGTCGACACACACCCGCCCCATTTACCTAAATCATCATATCAAATTGAAGAGCTAAAAGCCATCAGAACTCACATCCTATTGGTAACTATAAACAGATTTTGAAGCAGTTGCATGATATCAAGTATGAAAATTTCAAGCAAAATATAACAAGGAAAGCATATAACAAACCAAAGCAAGGTCTCCAGGCTTTACTGCAGGCTCCACGATGTCTCTGCCGTAACTGTTTTCAGAAGACAAAAAAGTTTTTTTTAAGTATATAATTTTATATACGGAAAATGCAACAAATAAACGCACACACCCTCCTCACCCTTGGTGAGGTTTGAATGTGTTACCTCCCATGAAGGCCAAAGGCCCGGATACCGCTAGGCCAAAGGCCCGTTGGTGACAAAGATAGTTAGTTCAGCAGCAACGCACAAAGAAAATCCAGTAACAACGGTGATTCAAGATTTTATATTTTTTGTAGGTTTATGACTGATACAGAAAGAGAGAGGGAGAGAGAGGGACTATGCCACAAAATCTATTAACATAATAACAAGTCTAACCAGTGGCCTTCGTCCCAACTGGTATACCGAGAAATAATGTATATTGGTTTGGTACTAATTTTGAAAAAGACGTGTTTGCTTGCTGCAAGTTGATCCCTACAAAGAATGTTTCTTGATAAGATTCTTGACATACAAGTGATGGAACCACCAAGAATGCATAACCACCAGCAACTAGAAGCAAACCAGAATTGCCCCAAATGACACTATATTTTCCAAAGCAATGACTAATAATCCCCTTAACCATAGGCTAATTTCCAAAATCCCGTAAAAATGTACTCAAGAGTCCCAAATGACAAACAAGAAAAGACAAACTAACCTTGAATTACCCATAAACAGAAACTCAGTTACTTTCAAGAAATCACAAAACAATCTCTGCGTTTTCCAGACATGTCAGTTGCTTGAGAGGATATTCTCTTTCCTGAGCTTTCATGGATCGAGTATAGTTGTTCTTGAATGTTAGAAAAAGGACCATTAATCCAAAATTTTGATGATATCTGTGGACTTCTAGAAATTATTGGAAGGTGTTCTCCCTTATAAAGATATAATCCAAACCCTTCTTCCAATTCAACAACGGGTATGAAATCTAACTTCTAGATCTTAAAGTATCTTGGCACATGGGTTTAATCGAGGCCCGGAGAAGTAAAAGGGCACAACTACAGAAATAATCACTAAAACTTTGCAATTAAGACGTACATTATCCATTTATCAGAACAACCACACTTACATTATTTTTTTCCGCCCATCCACAACTTCTAACCGATAAAAGCTGCATCCTTTGCTAAATGGAAAAGGCTTTCCCTTCCATTCTGCAATTATTTACACCGTCTATCACTTCATAGGAACTAGAATCACAATAAATACGCATAAAAAGAAATCCATACTTCAAGAGAAAAGATCACGACACCTCACAAAGGAAAGTTTGCTTTGGACATGATGATCTTAATACCTACTTGCACAGAAATATACACACAATTGGTATACACCAAATGGACTCAGTTCTTCAATATACCTAAGTGCCAAGTCACTCCAACAGCTGATGTATCTTCACCAGATATATCATCAATAGCAAATTGTAGATCTTGGTTAATGGTATAAATGAACTTCTCAAAAAATTCTAGTATAGCCTGCAAAAGTTGGTTGAAGCTCAAACAGTTGGTTTGAAAAAATAAATAAGGGAACACGGATTGAAAAATAATGGAATCTTAGACAAGATGCATGGTCAAATAAATAACGACTTGCTTCATTTCTATATCATTTTTAGATTTGTCTACCCCACCCTTCTCACCATTGTTCAACATTGTAGTTTAATGAATCCCTCCACTAATGAACTTTGGATTTTGTGGACATAATCCCTCCAATGATAAAAGTTCTGATTTTGGAGAAAACAGACGATGTAAATGTGAATTTGATAACGATTCAGCTATTAGAAAACAATAGTGCCATGTTAAGCAACTCTTTTGGTTTCCTCTTAAGGTCGTCATCATTTGACTTTGAATAATCAGATTGTATGTATAATTTCTAATAATTAAAAATATTCCTTTTTACACCACTTTTTTTATTTATAATACTTGTAGTTGTCTACTAGTTACAGATTTTTCCTCTAAATAAAATATATTTTTCAAGTTGAAAGTAGTTAGTTTGAAGTACAAAGTCAAAAAATGACAAACAATGGCTAACAGAGTGAGCACATAACAGACTAACGACGACTAAAAAGATTGTGATTTTGTTCCAACCCATGTGTATCAACTTGACTGGTCATGGGACAGGTTAAGTTTTAATGCTTTTTTGGGTATGCGCAGGCATAAATTTTTCTAGCTATTTTACTTTTTTAATCATAATTATGGGGTGGATGTGCACACTACTTTTTCCGTATCATGCTTTGATCGGTCAACAGCTTCCTCTATATAATTTTAACTACGTTTCTTTTTCTGACCGAATATTGTTCAGCATGTTTAGTACTGTTCCAGTTGTACTTCTCCAAGCGACTGGAAGTCCTTGAGGACAGCCTAGAGATCACGTATTAGAACTCTATATTCGTGTATTGCTGACTAAATTGCTGCATATGCCTCAATTGGCGGGTGGCAAAGATTCATCCACATGGGTATGCTTTCCTGGGTCTTTCAAGATAAACTTTGTACATATGTTTTAAACAATGCTCATAAAAACAGGTAAACAGAATGACCTTTTGAGGTTAAATTCCATGCTAAATTCTACTATTCGTACATATGTATAGATGTTTGGATTAGTGCACTCCATGACAGCATTTGGGGCCTATCCTATTTGGCTAGTGGACATGCGGTTTGGGGATAGTACCAGCCATTTAGGTCTACAGTTCGTTTGTTGCTTAATAAATTTGTCAGAGGCCCTGTCCTCCTTCCAGAAAAAAAAAAAAAAAAAAACTTTTCATATTATTACTCTCTAGTCCTGAATTAATTAGCCATACGTATTTTGTTTTACCCCCTAATTGGAGAAGCATTTTTGTCATTTAAACACCAAGCAATACTCCCATCAAATTTTGTATTTACTGTTGGCTCCGCCTCTAACTGATAAAATTACCTACAGCTCTAGGCCTTTTTGTCGATAATTTCCTTCTCATTAGCTGATCAGTTGGTTATAGCTTCAAGCATTGTTTTATCGTCTCCACACACAATAAGTCAATACTTCTCATAAAATTCATTCAACACCTATCTTTGTAGATCTGAGGTGATAAAGTAACTTCAATTCTACTAGATAATAATCGCTCTGAAACGCATTTAAGAATTCCGCATTAGCATTTAAGAATTTGCTTTCAGTTTCATATATAAATGATAAAAGTATTTCCACAATCTTTAGATTCTGAGATGGAGGGCCTAATTGTTATGAAGTTTGCTACAAATGCAACCAAAAATATTTATCAAAATCAAAATCCATTGCAAAATTGAAGTTGTAAAGCATACAATTTAACAAGAAAAAGTTCAGATTCAGGGTTTAGGCGATATCTTACCTTGCGGCCAACGAAAGGTTTAGGAAAAACAAGGTCTTCGTAAACGCAGTCGTCTGCAATGAGATCCACGACCGTCGAAAGGTTGCGGGAGTTTATTCCATCATAGAACCTTCTAACAACATCCGAAGACGAATCCAACGGATAAGAAACAACAGATGGAGGAGAAGATTCATCGTCTTCAGAGAATTTCGACGAGAGTACGGGATTTGGAGTACTCCTCAATGGAAATCGATCAATATATCCAATCCTTCTACTCGTTCGGCTTTCAGTTATCAAGTAAACGAAGTTGGAAGATGGCGATGATAATGAGAATTGAACAAAAGAGTTCGTCGTTGTTGTGGGGAGGGATATCATCATTGCCGCCATTTTTGGTGCTGTGGAGATGGGGAAACAGCACAGCTACAAAAAAAAATGAACGGTGGTGTTAGCGCCAAGACTACTGTTTTTGTTTTACTTTTTGTAATCAGGAACCATGGCAAAATTTGTTATTCTTATTTGAGTAAATTACGTTTTTAGTCCCTAAGGTTTGTAAATAATTTCGGATTTAGTCCCTGAGGTTTGTAAATAATTATGGATTTCGTCCCTGTGGTTTCAATATTTTGGTTTTCATCCTTATAGTTTGCAATTTATTTCTATTTTCGTCCCTGATGCCAAAAACACTACTTTAAGTAGGAAGAACTAAAATAGAAATGAGTTGTAAACAATAAGAACAAATAAAGCGATAAATTTAAATCATAAAGACAAAAAAGATAACGAATTATAAATTATAGAGATAAAAATTGTAATTTCAAAATTATAAAAACAAAAATAGAAATTTTTAACAAACCATAACGATAAAACGTAATTTACTCTTCCTATTTTAGAGTAGAATACGATTTTAGTTTTTGTGGTTAGTTAGAGTTTTCTATTTTCGTCCCATGCTTTCGAATATATGATTTTTATTCCTATAATTTATATTTGTTGATATTTTCGCATCTATAATAGATCAAGATATTTTCAAGTGGTGGTACAGTTTGATTATAATAAGTGAAGATATGAATATTTCTCACAAAATCATTATTGGCAGTTGATTGGTTTCTTGTTTTTCATATGATAGATCATGTGTTCGAGTCTTTTATGGCAAAAAAAAATCAAAAACATAATACATCTTAAAAGCTAAAAGAATAAGTAAATGACACAAACGAGATTCAAACCTACACCTAGGATCGGAGAAAAAACGTTAGCTAACCAACTCTGCCAAGAGATTCCTGTGTTTCATTATAGTTTCAAAAGTATATGGTTTTACACAACAAAATGATATAGTGGCACTTCTCACGACACTAAAAATTTACACGACAATGGAAGAAAGAAGTAGTGACCCTTGCCACCATATCCACTAGTGTGAGCTATAGTTTACAACTCATTGTTATTTTCATCCATATGGTTTACAATTCATGTTTGTTGAAAATTGCTATTTTCTTCCATATGCTTTCAAAATACGGTTTTGTCTAGGGACGTTCCAATCTTTTTAGAGGTCCTACTACATCCAAAACTTTTAAGTACATGTATATATAAAATATCAGAGAATAAATAATTTTGTCTATAATTTTACACAAGTCGATAAAAAAAACCCTAAACACATGTAAATTTAGGCTCCAAAATTTCAGGGGTCCTGTGCAAAATCTTATATTTAACATACTAAGGGATGACCTTGGTTTCGTCTATGTGATTTACAACTCATTGATGTTTTCATTTATGTGGTTTACAATTCACTATTGTTAAGATATCTCATACATAACAGTAAGTCATTGATTGAGAATTAACTTTTTCATACACCTGTTGAACATCTTGATATTTCTTGATCAAGAGCTCTTTTCCTTGTAAGCTCTGGTGTAAGTAGTCTCTTTCCTTTTGAAAATAAATTTTGAGGGCCTCATAGTTTAATCTGTCATGTTCCTTTTCTAAAAGCTCTTTTTCTTTCTTCTGTATAGTCGCTTTTAGTTCTAAGCACTCTGGTTTAAGACTTGTTTCAGTGAATGGTTTTGTTTGCAAAAGTTTTACATTTTCCACTGACAATTCTTGTTTCTCTACAGTTAGCAGCTCTGTCTCACGTTCAAAGAATAATTTTTCCTTTTCCAAAGATTTCCTTTTGGATTTTTTGACAGAGAGCTTTTGCTGTAGGTTAACGAAATCATTTGTCAAAGCAGATATGCTTTCTTCCAAGTCAGAATGGAACATACCTTGGAGTCGGAGTCAGATCCAGACTCTTCTCTGTCGTTCTCAACAGCCATCCCACAGAAATGGGCTTGGTCTTCTTCTTCGGATGAGGAGTCAGAGCCCCAGTTCTCCTGTTCAGCCATGAGACTCCTTTGTGATCGATTATACTTATACTTGTTTTTGTAGTACAGTTCATCTTTCACCAAAGTGCATCTACACTCTTTGGAGTAGTGCCCCATTTTACAGCATCTGAAGCATCTAACACCTTGTTTCTTTTGTTCCGATGGCTTTTCCTCCTTCTTGTTTGAAACAGAGGGAGGGTTCTTTCCTTCGAAAGCATTGCCTCGACTATGATCACCCTGCCTTCCTCGTTTATAGAAGACCTTTTTTCCCAATTTTTTTTTGAAATTCCTCGGTGATCAGGGCCAAGGAATGTGCAAAAGCACTGATGTCGCCGTCTTCAAAGCTAGACGCTCTGTCTTCTTCATCGCTCTCCATGACAAGAGCCTTCTTTCCCTTCCTCCTTTCTCTTTGGATCTTCGTTCTCTATGTGGCTGGCTAGATTCTGTCTCTTTTGAGTCAAAGACAAGAGCCAGAGGTCCACCCAGAGCGACCTTGGCCTTCTGCACTTCTTGCTCTTGAGCTTGCAGAGTCCCATACATGTCGTGTAGTGTCCATTGCTCTAGATCTTGATGTCACACCCCGCTAAAGCGGAAACACGAGATGTAACAGGTAAGCGAGTCACAGCAACAGTTAATAAATAATACCTTTCAAATTTTACAAAATAAAACGAGTTTAACACCTATAACCAAAATGGGATAGTATACTTCTTAAACAAAATCTTCAAATGCGAACTTAATCGGTCTTGCCACAAGTATGCTCCCAAAACAGTTCATTTCTTACTTAAATCCTGAAAAACATGAAATATAAAACAAGGTCAACTACAAAGAGTTGGTGAGTTCACAGGTTTTCACATGCACAAAACATTACAATGCATAAATCATTTATTTACAAACTTATACGTAAACTTTTGCACTTAATAAATGTAAATCTACCATGATGCTTAACTTGAGACGCTACTGAGCCTTACCTGACCAACGTGTCCCATTATTTTACGAACGACCATAAGTAGCCCCTACACTTACTTAGGTCCCACAGTTCGTAGTAGTACTAATTCAGCGGTGGTCCAAATTCCACATGATTAGACTAAGAAAACATAGGTAATGTGCACCCCTTTTTGGGTGGGACTGTCAACACAATAGCGGCTATCCACAATACCACGCCCGGGGACATGCCCGAGTTAACAAGTAGCGTTTACGGATGAGACTTTATTTGGAAACATACTCCCAAGCACATCAATTTAGAATTTATATCATAGTGCAAAACAGTAAACAAAACTTGACTAAACAGTTCTTTAGTCCAACGGTTTTGACTAAACAGTTCTTTAGTCCAAAGATTTTAAACAAAACATCGACTAAACAGTTCTTTAGTCCAATGGTTATAAATAAAGTATAGTTTG